CGCCTCCCTGTAGGCTGTCTCGTCATTGTTGGTAATCAAGCCTACTACTGTTGTGTCGTCTGCAAACTTGATGATTGAGTTGGAGGCGTGCCTGGCCATGCAGTCATGGGTGAACATGGAGTACAGGAGGGGGCTAAGCACGCACCCTTGTGGGGCCCCAGTGTTGAGGATCAGCGAAGTGGAGATGTTGTTTCCTACCTTCACCACCTGGGGGCGGCACATTGACCAATTCGGCACATTTGGGCAGACTTGATACAAAATAGTTCAGTATTGCAATGCTTCACTGGATCAATCTGAAACTTTGTACACACACTGCTTGCCAAAATCTAAATTGCGCCTAAACTGCAATATTATATTGTGGCCTTTCTCTTGCATTTCAAAGAATGTGTTATATTCTCCTACATTCATTTGACATTTCCACAAACTTCAAAAAGTTTCCTTTCAAATGGTATCAAGAATATGCATACCCTTGCTTCAGGTCCTGAGCTACAGGCAGTTAGATTTGGGTATGTCATTTTAGGCGAAAATTGAAAAAAAGGGTCCGAAGTCACATAATAACTTGCACAGATTGACTCTTCGTGCAATAGTGTTTAACATTATTTTTGAATGACTACCTCATCTCTGTACCCCACACATACAATTATCTGTAAGGTCCCTCAGTCGAGCAGTGAATTTAAAACACAGATTCAACCAAAGGGAGGTTTTCCAATGCCTCGCAAAGAAGGACACCTATTGGTAGATAGGTAAAAATAATAAAAGCAGACATTGAATATACCTTTGAGCATGGTGAAGTTATTAATTGCACTTTGGATGGTGTATCAATACATCCTGTCACTACAAAGATACAGGCGTCCTTCCTAATTCAGTTGCTGGAGAGGAAGGAAACCACTCAGGGATTTCACCATGAGGCCAATGGTGACTTTAAAACAGTTACAGAGTTTAATGGCTGTGATAGGAGAAAACTGAGGATGGATCAACAACATTGTAGTAACTCCACAATACTAACCTAATTGACAGAGTGAAAAGAAGGAAGCCTGTACAGAATACACATATTCCAAAACATGAATCCTGTTTGCAACAAGGCACTAAAGTAATACTGCAAAAAAATGTGGCAAAGCAATTCACTTTTTGTCCAGAATACAAAGCGTTATGTTTGGGCCAAATCCAATACAACACTCTCCATATTTTCAAATATAGTGGTGGCGGCATCATGTTATGGGTATGCTTGTATCTCTCGAGTGGCGCAGTGGTCTAAGGCACTGCATAGCTGTGCCACTAGAGATCCTGGTTCGAATCCAGGCTCTGTCGTAGCCGGCCGCAACCGGGAGACCAATGGGGCGGCGCACAATTGGCCCAGCGTCGTCCAGGGTAGGGGAGGGAATGGCCGGCAGGGAGGTAGCTCAGTTGATAGAGCATGGTGTTTGCAACACCAGGGTTGTGGGTTCGATTCCCACGGGGGGCCAGTATAAAAATAAAAATAATGTATGCACTAACTGTAAGTCGCTCTGGATAAGAGCGTCTGCTAAATGACGTAAATGTAAATGCTTGTAATCATTAAGGACTGGTGAGTTTTTCAGGATAAAAAAGAAACGGGATGGAGCTAAGCACAGGCAAAATCCTAGAGGAAAACCTGGTTCAGTCTGCTTTCCACCAGACACTGGTAGATTAATTCATATTTCAGCAGGACAATAACCTAAAACACAAGGCCAGATCTACACTGGAGTTGCTTACCAAGAAGACAGTGAATGTTCCTGAGTGGACGAATTACAGTTTTGACTTAAATCTACTTGAAAATCTATGGCAAAACCTGAAAATGGCAATGATCAAGAACCAATTTGACAAAGTTCGAAGACATTTGAAAATAATATATGGGCAAATGTTGCACAATCCAGGTGTGGAAAGGGCTTAGAGACTTACCCAGAAAGACTCACAGCTGTAATCGCTGCCATAGGTGCTTCTACAAAGTATTGACTCAGGTGTGTGAATACTTATGTAAATTCGATTTTCTGTATTTCATTTTCAATACATTTGCAAACATTTCTAAAATCATGTTTTCACTTTTTAATTATGCGGTATTGTGTGTAGATTGGTGATTTTTATTTATTTAATACATTTTGAATTCTGGCTGTAAATGTGTAATAAGTCAAGGGTTATAAATACTTTCTGAAGGCACTGTATGTGCTACTGAAATTGTAGATGGTTAAATTATGTAAGAACAATAGTGTAAATATTATTTTATAACAAATGTGTTTTCCTGAATTGTATGGTGTATTACTTTTAACATATATGCCAAACATCCCCTTTCATTTAACTGTGTATCCGCCAGATTCTTTCCAGACGGCACACACAAATGAGCCTAATCATAGCCTAAGACTTACCTACCGGTACATACAGTGGCTACTTGATACTCTTATTAGGCATACTTAAGACAAGCAAAAAGTGGAATGCAAACTGTGCAAACAGCGGTTTGCTCATAGTTCAACAACGAATATGACATACCACTTGAAAACAGTAAGTTAGCCTACTCTGTAGTTGCATGCTAAAACATTGACAGGTTTTATATGCTTGACAGTGATCGCTGCAGTGGCGCTCCCCAAGGTGCTGAACTGAATCTTCAGTGAGCGCTTTCTCCCGCGTTTCACTTGGCCTTCTCAAATATAGTTACAACAAGGCCTATTGTGTAGTCTATTACCGGCAACATCAGGAGCATAAAGGCAGAATATGCGAAGGTCAGCAGCAGCGGGAGGAGGAGGGTCAGAACAGTTTCTTTCCTTCTGGTTATCTTTCTCTCTGGCTTCCTCTTGAGTCATTTGTGTCTTAAAGCATCAGAAAAGCTCAGTGCATATAGTTAATTTTATTAAAACACATAGGGTGTGTCTATATATGGAAAAATACACATTTAAAAATGTTGACCAATCGATTGGTCGAAAGAACCAAGAATTTCTAAACCAAATCATTTTTGAAATGTAAATGGTATGTTATAGAAGTGTCCATTTTTTTAGCGATTTCACTTGGTTTTGAGAAACTTAAGACCACCCGCAATAGACTTCCTCATTGCTTGTTCTGCAGTATAGGAGCTATGGGAAAAAAGGCTCCAAAAACACCCAAATACATCCTTTAGAAACGGCAATGCTCTCAGTATAGTGATGCAGGTCTTTAGATGTTGTACACATGAAATTGTGTTATTCCGAACTTTATTCACAACATTATATTCCATTTTATTATTCGACTCAAGCCATTTCCCCTACCAGCTGTGCTGAGCAGGCTACACAGAGAAGCAGCATACTGCAGAACTAGCAATGAGGAAGTCTATTGCGAGTGGCCAAGTTTCTCAAAACCAAGTGAAATCGCTAGTGTGTCTGGACCCTTCTACAACATGCCCTTTACATCAAAAACAGATTTGGTACAAATTCTGAACCAATCCTTTAAGACTGCAGCTCAATTCCAAACCCACCTCTTGCCACTATCCCCAAGGCACTAGTGTAGACCTAAAAAGATATGATGTAAGCAATATGGCAAAAGTCACCTAGCCAATCAGAATGATAGTTGGAACAAACACCATATTGCTTACCTATCCAATCCAAGTGTAGGGCCTAGGGATCGATTTGGAATTGGGCATATAGCTCTTGAAAATGCCCCTCCACCTTACTACAGAACCAATCCAATGATCGTATCAATGCTATGGTATAAACATTGAAATGTTATAGTACAATTGGAATAAATCTTGCCAGTGGTTAGAATGTCATGCTGTGAATGCTTTCAGTGGAGATAAAACAAGGATGCTGACAACCTTCACTCACAAACAATTCCTTAAAGCACTGCTGACCTGGGATGTGCTATAATTATCCTTCATAGCACTGGTTCCCAAACTTTTAAATGACTGGAGGACATGGTGAAAATCATCATCTACAACTCTCCCTCAGATCCTCAATAACATGAATTGAGTTGAGTTACCCAGTGTCCCATATTTGAGTTGAATGTCTGTAAATGAGCCTCCCCTGTAATAGAGACTCAGGCTCCCTTCACAGGGACATTTATCATCTTATACATGGCAACACTGACACATGCTCCAATTAATGTATTGAATACCAGTAAGTGACCTATCACAAACAGATACATACCATGATTTAATGCCCAATATGTGTCATTACCATATAGTAAAACTGATATTCAGGTTAAATGATTTACTGTGCACCAGATGGGACAACAAAAGAGATAGAGAAATTAAGCAAGGAAGAGGGGACTGAAATGAATTTGGGAACCAATGCTATATATCGTCCTAATGACCTGAGCTATGCTATCACCTACTGCCCTGACATTCTGCAATCTCAGGCCTAGTGTCCATACAACAACCATACCTTTACTTTGCATGCCTTTAAAACACCTTAATCAGTATTCTCTTATCTACCTCCACTTAACAATGAAACAACCCTTTGAAATGGTGTGCATCAAAGCATGAAGGTACCGGATTTGTCTACATTGGGAAAATGGAACAGCAAAGTTCAGCCATATATTTGCACTATGATCCCTACTGCAATTGTATTTTCATTCTGTATACACATTCATTGTTAACTAATAAATTAAATGACAAACAAAAGGATTCATTTATGTCAGACACGGTAGTATAACTCACAACAAATGCCAGTAAAAAAGCAAAGGAAAACTGCAGTAGGTTAAAACAGAATAAATGTGAATTGTCATTGTCCATAGCTAAAACAGAGTCAGGTGAAAGCACGACATTTAAAGAGTTGGTTATTCTTTGAGCAGAGGTGGGGAACTCATTTAGCTACAGAGTCATGAATTTCAGCTTTCAGCCTTGGAAGAGTGTGTGTGGGGGTTGGAGGGGGCTTGATCAGTCAGCAGTCCATCACTTCTTCCTCTCAAGCCCTCTGTTCAATTTCTGATGATGCATGCGCGTTAGCATGTGTACTTTCATGTTTTCTATAAGTATTTGTATTTTACCAGTGTTCCAGTGAGTAAGAGAGTGTGTGTCCAGTCCATCACTGTGGTGTTGTATCTCCATTGATCTCTATGCCGTGCTGTTGTAGCTGAGCTCGAAGCAGTGCATTGTCATTCTTCAGCTCCTCAATCTATAACATGACCGAACGTCACAATTAAACAATGTTAACAACCAAATGCCAAGACTACCAAATGTGAGAAAATACTTTCAATGTAGGCCTTTTATAAGACCTTCATACATACAGTGCCTTGTAAAAGTATTCATCCCCCTTGTCGTTTTTCCTATTTTGCTGCATTACAACCTGTAATTTAAATTGATTTTTATTTGGACTTCATGTAATGGACATACACAAAATAGTTCAAATTGGTGAAGTGAAATGAAAAAAATTACTTGTTTCAAAAAATTATAAAAAATAAATAACGGAAAAGTGGTGCGTGCATATGTATTCACCCCCTTTGCTATGAAGCCCCTAAATAAGATCTGGTGCAACCAATTACCTTCAGAAGTCACATAATTAGTTAAATAAAGTCCACCTGTGTGCAATCTAAGTGTCATATGATCTGTCACATGATCTCAGTATATATACACATCTGTTCTGAAAGGCCCCAGAGTCTGCAACACCACTAAGCAAGGGGCACCACCAAGCAAGTGGCACCATGAAGACTAAGGAGCTCTCAAAACAGGTCAGGGACAAAGTTGTGGAGAAGTACAGATCAGGGTTGGGTTATAAAAAAAATATCAGAAACTTTGAACATCCCACGGAGCACCATTCAATCCATTATTAAAAAATTGAAAGAATATGGCACCACAACAAACCTGCCAAGAGAGGGCCACCCACCAAAACTCACGGCATCTCACAGCGGAGATTGGAGTATCTGTCCATAGGACCACTTTAAACCGTACACTCCACAGAGCTGAGCTTTACGGAAGAGTGGCCAGAAAAAAGCCATTGCTTAAAGAAAAAAATAAGCAAACTCATTTGGTGTTCGCCAAAAGCCATGTGGGAGACTCCCCAAACATATGGAAGACGGTACTCTGGTCAGATGAGACTAAAATTGAGCTTTTTGGCCATCAAGGAAAACGCTATGTCTGGCACAAACCCAACACCTCTCATCACCCCGAGAACACCATCCCCACAGTGAAGCATGGTGGTGGCAGCATCATGCTGTGGGGATGTTTTTCCATCGGCAGGGACTGGGAAACTGGTCAGAATTGAAGGAATGATGGATGGCGCTAAATACAGGGGAATTATTGAGGGAAATCTGTTTCAGTCTTCCAGAGATTTGAGACTGGTACGGAGGTTCACCTTCCAGCAGGACAATGACCCTAAGCATACTGCTAAAGCAACACTCGAGTGGTTTAAGGGGAAACATTTAAATGTCTTGGAATGGCCTAGTCAAAGCCCAGACCTCAATCCAACTGAGAATCTGTGGTATGACCTAAAGATTGCTGTACACCAGTGGAACCCATCCAACTTGAAGGAGCTGGAGCAGTTTTGCCTTGAAGAATGGGCAAAAATCCCAGTGGCTAGATGTGCCAAGCATATAGAGACATACCCCAAGAGACTTGCAGCTGTAATTGCTGCAAAAGGTGGCTCTACAAAGTATTGACTTTGGGGGGATGAACTGTTATGCACGCTCAAGTTCTGTTTTTTTGTCTTATTTCTTGTTTGTTTCACAATAAAAAATATTTTGCATCTTCAAAGTGGTAGGCATGTTGTGTAAATCAAATGACACAAAACCCCCAAAAAATCAATTTTAATTCCAGGTTGTAAGGCAACAAAATAGGAAAAATGCCAAGGGGAGTGAATACTTTCGCAAGCCACTGTAGGCATAAAATAATTACAAAACAAATGCAAACAGGCTGAAACAGGGAGGGACTAAAATAAACTTGTCCAATAAGCAATTATCTTATTCGTTGCAAAATGTTTTACGTTGTAAAATGTTTTGCTACGGTGTGCACCATTGAATACACCCCTGGCGTGTTGTTGACACAGACAGCAGAGTGGAAGGTGCGAGTTACACATATAATTGTGTACCTGTTGTTTGAGTAGCTCGTTGTCCGCCTGAACTCTCAACACCTCTTTGAAGCTGTCCTGCAATCGTTGGTTATTCTGTCTCAGCTCCCGGATGTAGTCACACGCTTTCGACAGGATCCCTCCTTTACTCTGGAGAGAAGAGGTTGCACATTAATTATATTATAAGAAATCGTGATTTCGAACAATTTGCAATTGCGGGTCAGTTTCTCGGACATAGATTAAGCCTAGTTCTGGACTAAAAACCTATTTCAGTGGAGAGTTTCCATTGAGCATGCTTTCTAGTTCAGGACTAGGCTTAATCTGTGTCCAGGAAACCGGCCAATACCATCTGTAAGTGTCTTAAATTATAAAGTGGATTCAAATGGGACTTAATCTCTATAGACAAATTGACCACACTCACTGCTCCAGTCTTAGTACTGTCTATGTTGCAGTCTGGGATGATCTTTGAGAGAGTGACGATCCAGTTGTTGATCTTGTCTCTTCTCCGCCTTTCCACTGCAAATACAATAATCCCATAGCTTAGTTGTCAAAGCTACAGCATGAGCCATACTCCTGTGGTGGCAGAATTTGGGGTGAGCTGTTGTAACTTCTCAAGGGGTATGTTCTGTGTTGGACTGTGACGTTATGCCTTTCATAGACTCCTGGTATGTCTGCACCCTAACACAATGCCATTGTGTTCCGGAACTGTTGATTGTTTTAAAATAACTGTTGTGTAAACAATATGATTGTATTATCACCTCCCACTATATAAGGGACATGTAACCATTTCTTCCTTGAGTTCTTCCCTGTGAAATCAGAAGTAAATCTCCCCTGCAGCTGCTTGTATTAAAGATCTTTCTATTATATCATGAAATATAATCTTTGCATCGAATTTTCCACAACATTTGGTGCCATGACCCGGATGAGAGCAACCTGACTTTTTTGATCCGTTTCGCTCAGCTTGGCCTCAGACATCCCTCTGGCCACAACTTAAAAAGGTAAGAGACCTTACTTAAAAATCTGTGAGGGACTGTCTGTTTTCCAGCCAAGCCTTAATGGTGAAAGATCTCTTGTACTCTATAATAATGAATCTGTCCGGTTAACATTGATCAATGGAAGCACAGGGGTGTCTCTAATAGTAGGAATTGGATTTCCTACAATCACATGAAAATACTGTTGGATCAGTATAAAATAAAGTGTTTTAGGGAGCGTTTGACAGTGATGAGGGGTGGTCGTTTGACCGCGGACCCGTTACGGACGCAGGCAATAAGGCAGTGATCGCTGAGATCCTGGTTGAAGACAGCGGAGGTGTATTTAGAGGGTAAGTTTGTCAGGATGATATCTATGAGGGTGCCCATGTTTACGGATTTAGGGTTGTACCTGGTAGGTTCCTTGATAATTTGTGTGAGATTGAGGGCATCTAATTTGGATTGTAGGATGGCTGGGGTGTTAAGCATATCCCAGTTTAGGTCACCAAGCAGTATGAACTCTGAGGATAGATGGGGGGCAAGCAATTCACATATGGTGTCCAGGGCACAGCTGGGGGCTGAGGGGGGTCTGTAGCAAGCGGCAACAGTGAGAGACTGTCACGAGTGTCAGTGTAATGCGGTGGATCGAAGTCAGGCGCAGGACACAGAACTCTAAGAAACATACTTTACCGAAAATAAGTAAAAACAACAATACAGAACACCTCCACACAGGGAGGAACTAACCCGCTCACCAACGACACACGAAACGAAAAACAAACACGCACAAAACACATTGGGAGCCACTGGGTTAAATAAGGAAGGAGTTATCACATAATGGGCAACAGGTGTGTAACAATAGACAACAGGTGCAACATAGAAACATAGAACATAGATCGGCAGCAGCTAGTATTCCGGTGACGACAAACGCCGAAGCCTGCCCGAGCAAGGAGGAGGGGCAGCGAGCAAGGAGGAGGGGCAGCCTCGGCAGAATCCGTGACAGAGACTTATTTCTGGAAAGGTGGATTTTTAGAAGTAGGAGCTCAAACTGTTTGGGCACAGACCTGGATAGTATGATAGAGCTCTGCAGGCTATCTCTACAGTAGATTGCAACTCCACCTCCTTTGGCAGTTCTATCTAGACGGAAAATGTTGTAGTTGGGGATGGAAATTTCTGAATTTTTGGTGGCCTTCCTAAGCCAGGATTCAGACACTGCTAGAACATCAGGGTTGGCGGAGTGTACTAATGCAGTGAATTACTCAAACTTAGGAAGGAGGCTTCTGATGTTAACATGCAAAAGGCCAAGGCTTTTACGGTTACAGAAGTCAACAAATGATAGCACCTGGGGAGTAGGAGTGATACTGGGGGCTGCAGGGCCTGGGTTAACCTCTACATCACCAGAGGAACAGAGGAGGACTAGAATAAGGATACGGCTAACAGAGAATAAAGGGGGCAGATTTCCGGGCGTTGTAGAATAGATTCAGGGCATTATGTACAGACAAGGATATGGAAGGATACAGTGGGGGAAAAAAGTATTTAGTCAGCCACCAATTGTGCAAGTTCTCCCACTTAAAAAGATGAGAGAGGCCTGTAATTTTCACCATAGGTACACGTCAACTATGACAGACAAATTGAGGAAAAAAAATCCAGAAAATCACATTGTAGGATTTTTAATGAATTTATTTGCAAATTATGGTGGAAAATAAGTATTTGGTCACCTACAAACAAGCAAGATTTCTGGCTCTCACAGACCTGTAACTTCTTCTTTAAGAGGCTCCTCTGTCCTCCACTCGTTACCTGTATTATTGGCACCTGTTTGAACTTGTTATCAGTATAAAAGACACCTGTCCACAACTTCAAACAGTCACACTCCAAACTCCACTATGGCCAAGACCAAAGAGCTGTCAAAGGACACCAGAAACAAAATTGTAGACCTGCACCAGGCTGGGAAGACTGAATCTGCAATAGGTAAGCAGCTTGGTTTGAAGAAATCAACTGTGGGAGCAATTATTAGGAAATGGAAGACATACAAGACCACTGATAATCTCCCTCGATCTGGGGCTCCACGCAAGATCTCACCCCGTGGGGTCAAAATGATCACAAGAATAGTGAGCAAAAATCCCAGAACCACACGGGGGGACCTAGTGAATGACCTGCAGAGAGCTGGGACCAAAGTAACAAAGCCTACCATCAGTAACACACTACGCCGCCAGGGACTCAAATCCTGCAGTGACAGACGTGTCCCCCTGCTTAAGCCAGTACATGTCCAGGCCCGTCTGAAGTTTGCTGGAGTGCATTTGGATGATCCAGAAGAGGATTGGGAGAATGTCATATGGTCAGATGAAACCAAAATAGAACTTTTTGGTCAAAACTCAACTCGTCGTGTTTGGAGGACAAAGAATGCTGAGTTGCATCCAAAGAACACCATACCTACTGTGAAGCATGGGGGTGGAAACATCATGCTTTGGGGCTGTTTTTCTGCAAAGGGACCAGGACGACTGATCCGTGTAAAGGAAAGAATTAATGGGGCCATGTATAGTGAGATTTTGAGTGAAAACCTCCTTCCATCAGCAAGGGCATTGAAGATGAAACGTGGCTGGGTCTTTCAGCATGACAATGATCCCAAACACACCGACCGGGCAACGAAGGAGTGGCTTCGTAAGAAGCATTTCAAGGTCCTGGAGTGTCCTAGCCAGTCTCCAGATCTCAACCCCATTGAAAATCTTTGGAGGGAGTTGAAAGTCCGTGTTGCCCAGCGACAGCCCCAAAACATCACTGCTCTAGAGGAGATCTGCATGGAGGAATGGGCCAAAATACCAGCAACAGTGTGTGAAAACCTTGTGAAGACTTACAGAAAACGTTTGACCTGTGTCATTGCCAACAAAGGGTATATAACAAAGTATTGAGAAACTTTTGTTATTGAACAAATACTTATTTTCCACCATAATTTGCAAATAAATTCATTAAAAATCCTACAATGTGATTTTCTGGATAGTTTTTTCTCATTTTGTCTGTCATAGTTGACGTGTACCTATGGTGAAAATTACAGGCCTCTCTCATCTTTTTAAGTGGGAGAACTTGCACAATTGGTGGCTGACTAAATACTTTTTTTCCCCACTGTAACTAGAACAGCAATAGGCAAGGCATATTGACATGGGAGAGAGGCATAAAGCAATCACAGGTGTTATTCGAGAGAGCTAAGACAACAACTGGTAATGGCGATGAAAGTTTGGGCTGAGGCAGGGTACCGTGTAAAGGAACAGTCCAGCAGGTAACAGCTGTGCAGCTGAGTGATCATAAGGTCCAGTGAACAGCAATGTGAGTCAGAGCAGTTCGAATTGGTGCTACAGCACAGGCGATCAGGAAGTACGGCTGTTGAATTGCGTGTGCTAGCGGGCTGGGGCTAGCAGATGGATCTTCGTGGTCGTCGCAACGGGAAGCCTGTTGAAACCACAGACGATTACGCCGGCAGACCAGTCGTGATGGATCGGCGGGGCTCCGTGTCGTCACTAGGAGGTCCCGTCCGGTTGACAGAGAGGTAGATAGCCGGGAGATGGTCCTGACTCGAGGCTAGCTCAAGGCTGATTAGCCAACCACAACATCCATTCGGTTGCAGCTAGCTAGTTGCGATGATCCGGTGTTAAAGGTCCAGTGATTCAGTGATTCCAGCAGAAAATCCTATATGTTCTGGGTTGATAACGCGCTGGGCAGGCTGGTCGATAATAGTCCAGGCTAGAGCTGGCTGGTAGGTAGTGCAGGCTACGGACAATGGTGAAAAAAACCTGCTAACGGTGGCTAATAACAAGTAGCTAGTTAGCTGGCTACTCCCGTCCGGTAGACAGAGAGGTAGATAGCCGGGATATGGGCCTGGCTCGAGGCTAGCTCAAGGCTAACTGGTGCTTGCTTTGGGGGCAGTGGTGATTAGCCAACAGCAACATCCATTCGGTTGTGGCTAGCTGGTTGCGATCCGGTGTTAAGGTCCAGTGATTCAGTTATTCCGGAAGAAAATCAGATGTTCTGGGTGAAAACCGCTAACGGTGGCTAATAGCAAGTAGCTAGTTAGCTGGCTAGCTAGTTTCAACTGGAGATTCTAGATAATAGGTAAGTAAATAATAGAATCCGTTCCACATTGAGTGAGAAGGATGAAAAGTGTGATAGGGGATTATATACAACAAAAGACAAAAAAAAAGAAAAAACTGGCTATTTACACAGACACACAACAGAGTACACGACCGCACTGCTACGCCATCTTGGATCCACATGATAATGGTTAGGACATCTACTTTGTGTATAACAAGTAATTTTTCCAACAATTGTTTACAGACAGATAATTTCACTTATAATTCACTGTATCACAATTCCAGTGGGTCAGAAGATTACATACACTAAATTGACTGTGCCTTTAAACAGCTTGGAAAATCCAGAAAATGATGTCATGGCTTTATTTATTTTATTTATTATGTCATGGATTTATTTCAGCTTTTATTTATTTAATCTCAAACGCCATGCTCTATCAACTGAGCTACATCCCTGCCGGCCATTCCCTCCCCTACCCTGGACGACGCTGGGCCAATTGTGCGCCGCCCCATGGGTCTCCCGGTCGCGGCCGGCTACGACAGAGCCTGGATTTGAACCAGGATCTCTAGTGGCACAGCTAGCACTGCAATGCAGTGCCTTAGACCACTGCGCCACTCGGGAGGTTATAACAGCTTCCAATGAAAAATAGAATTGCCACGTTAATCAGAGCCTTCGTCAAGAATTAAAAGGAATACCACCCCGGTAATACATTTTGAAACAAAACCCATGCCCTGTTCAATAGGACCAATGAATGTTGAACATGATTTTATTTATTCACCCACTCAAGTGTTTAACTTTCTAGGTAGACTTCTTAACTAAACTAAAGGCTACAATCTATTGTACTCCTGATGGAGTTTCCGTTGATATCCCCAACAATGAAGTCTAAACCAATTCGTGAACCACTCCCGAGACGAAGTGGAAAACTGTCTCTGTCTATTCTGTCTCAGGTGCCAGAAACCTTATGGACAGAGCAGTCCATTGGCAGTGGACTGTTAGGCAATGCTAGCCCAATTATAATAAATGTTGATCCCAGAAAGAAACACTAGTCGAGAGCTACCATAAAAGGTTTCTCTCCCGTTCTGAATTGGCCGATGTATTTTATAATTTCGGCGCATTATATATTAATCTCAAAATAATAGACATTTAATGAGTGTGAAGCAGAAAGTGAATATCCAAAGGAAATTGGTAATAAATATATAGAGTAACATTGTTAGGGTAGACTAAAATGCAAACAATGCCTTCCAATAAAGAGAAAGTAAAAGGGGACAATGGCATCCCGGTGAACAGAAGTTATCATGTTTGTTTTGTTTGTTATTAAACCTTACAATAGGGGTAAAAGCAGAACATTGTTTGAGAGTGATCCGTGTGTATTAGCAGTAGTGATTGAGAGGGTTTTCCTATTGGGAAGAGTAGAAGGGTCCTAGTTGAAGGAAACAGATATGGAGACTAGTGAAACTAACAAAGACAGTGATAAAGAGAGTCAAATTGAAAGATTCATGGTCTCATGGTTTAAACTTGATGTCCAATTTAATGAGTGTTGACAGTATGTGCATGATATGTTATTAGTTATTTGCACTCTAATAATGCCATATCTTAATAATTTGAAGGAGCTAAGGTTTCAATACAAGCTCACATGACAAACATAGGGATTGAGCCTCGGGTCAACACCATTTACACAAGATACTCAGCAACATGCAACAATTTTGAAAGATTTAGCTGAGTTACAGTTCACATAAGGAAATCAGTCAATTGAAATAAATTCATTAGGCCCTAATCTATGGATTTCACATGACTGGGAACACAGATATGCATATTTTGTTCACACATACCTTTAAAAAAAGGAGGGGCATGGATCAGAAAACCAGTCAGTATCTGGTGTGACCACCATTTCCCTCATGCATCGTGCACATCTCCTTCGCATAGAGTTGATCAGGCTGTTGATTGTGGCCTGTAAAATGTTGTCCCACTCCTCTTCAATGGCTGTGCAAAGTTGCTGGATATTGGCCAGAACTGGAACACGCCGTTGTACACGTCAATCCAGAGCATGCCAAATATGCTCAATGGGTGACATGTCTGGTGAGTATGCAGGCCATGGAAGAATTGGGGCATTTTCAGCTTCCAGGAATTGTGTACAGATCCTTGTGACATGGGGCTGTGCATTATAATGCTGAATCATGAGGTGATGGCGGCAGATGAATGGCACAACAATTGTCCTCAGGATCTTGTCAAGTTATCTCTGTGCATTAAAATTGCAATCGATAAAATGCAATTGTGTTTGTTGTCCGTAGCTTATGCCTGCCCATAACATAACCGCACCGCCACCATGGGGCACTCTGTTCACAACGTTGACATCAGTAAACCGCGTATACACACAATGCCATACACAGGGTCTGCCATCTGCCCAGTACAATTGAAACAGGGATTCATCCGTGAAGAGCACACTTCTCTAGCTTGCCAGTGGCCATCGAAGGTGAGCATTTGCCCAATGAAGTCTGTTACGACGCCAAACTGCAGTCAGGTCAAGACCCTGGTGAGGATGACGAGCACACAGATGAACTTCCCTGAGACGGTTTCTGATGGTTTGTGCAGAAATTCTTCAATTGTGCAAACCCACAGTTTCATCAGCTGTCCGGGTGGCTGGTCTCAGACAATCCCGCAGGTGAAGAAGCCGGATGTGGAGGTCCTGGGCTGGCGTGGTTACACATGGTCTGCTGTTGTGAGGCCGTTTGGATGTACTGTCTCTAAAACGACGTTGGAGGCGGCTTATGGTAGAGAAATTAACACTCAATTCTCTGGCAACAGCTCTGGTGGACATTCCTGCAGTCAGCATGCCAATTGCACGCTCCCTCAAATCTTGAGACATCTGTGGCATTGTGTTGTGACAAAGCTGCACATTTTAGAGTGGCATTTTATTGTCCCCAGCACAAGGTGCACCTGTGTAATGATCATGCTGTTTAATCAGCTTCTTGATTAGCCACACAGGGATGTAAACACATTTGTGCACAACATTTTCGAGAAATCGGCTTTTTGTGCGTATGGAAAATTTCTAGGACCTTTTATTTCAGCTCATGAAACATGGGACCAGCACTTTACATTTTGTGTTTATATTTTTGTTCAGTGTAAAAAAAAAGATTACACGAAAAACATTTAGTAAGGCTCCTCCTTTTTCTCTCTATGCCCATGGTAAGTCTGAACTTTTACTTTCAAGTTTCCATTTGCCAGATAAATACTTTCTTTAATCAGTTTACCTTCATTGTGTTGTGCTTTCCTTCTCTCATCCCGAGGTGCCCGTGGACCATCCATCTTCCTGTGAAGAGAGACAAAGACAAATAAATGATTCCATTTTATGTCACCGTTACCCACTGTAAAACCCACACTCATAAAAACAAACAAATTGACAGTGTATTCAAATGCATTGTTCAAATGTAATATTTTAGCAGACGCTCTTATCCAGAGCGACTTGCAGTAGTATATATTTTCGTACTTTTTTGAACTGGCCCCCGTGGGAATCGAACCCACAACTCTGGTGTTGCAAGCGCCATGCTCTAGCAACTGAGCCACATGGGACCTGCATGAATCCATCATTCTATCAACAAACTATCTATTGATAAGCAACTGCTTGCTAGGGTTAAAGTAAGGCTTAAGTTTAGGGTTAGGATAAGGGTTAGGGCTAGGGTTAGTAGATTTGTTAGCTGAAATGTTACTGATAGTCTGTAGAGTATCTACAGATGGACTATCCAAATAAAGTATTACCGAGACGTTTCCTCGCCCCATTGAAGAGGACTCCTTCGGTCAACCTATAACCCAAAGCTATATATACACACACTATACATCAAGTTCACCTGAAAGGTACACTAAGACATATGATTCATCACGACTAGTGGATTCACCACACATCTGTCAAGGATGGGAGGAGAGGGGGTCAGTTTTAGAGGATGCGAACGAAAGTAGTCCTCACCAGTTTGAACTGCCATGCTGTAGTATCTCGTTTTCACCGAGGTCTCTGGGGATGGCAGGTAAGTGGGACAGTTTTTGTTTTTGCACGTTTTGATTTATTTTGAATCACAAACCAATCATGCCAAAATAGGCAGGTAAATACTAAGAGGTGATAATTTCCTGAAGGTTTAGCTAGGGAAAGTCTATGCCAATGTGGAGTTGGGAGAAGTGAGACAAACTACATAGATGGGGGAGCATTGTGGTGTGATGAATGTGTATGGAACACTAAACTGTGTGGCAGGTGAAGCCGTACTCACGTGGTGTAGGTGTGTGCGCGAGGGGCAATGGTCCGTGGCGTGCCAGCTTGCAACACATCAGGTGGGCTCATCATCACATAGAACTGACCTGGTGTCAGAGAGAGGTGGTACAAATCAGGGATTTATAGGATTCCCAAGAAAGACTATTGTGACTTAACGTCTCTTGCCCTATTGAGATAAAGGCAATAGTCAAAATTCAATTCAGTCAAATATATGTAACCCCCTGGTTACTTTTAGTTTCTTTTTTTTTTATGGACTGGTCATCTGTCACTTGGACCACACGGTCCTCTGTAGCTCAGCTGGTAGAGCACGGCGCTTGTAACGCCAAGGTAGTGGGTTCGATCCCCGGGACCACCCATGCACAAAAATGTATGCACGCATGACTGTAAGTCGCTTTGGATAAAAGCGTCTGCTAAATGGCATATTATTATTATATTATTACTCTGTTGCATGTGGGACATATTTTGGAGATGGACCATTGCAAGGCAACAGTTAGACATGCGAGAGAGTGAAGGGAGGACAACCCTGCAAACTCTGTGAGCTAGCAAGACGGCTATTTCATTGTTTTAGCTATTGTTTTAAAAAGTTGTTGTAACGCGATCTGAGTAAACCAAAGTGATTAACTGTTAGCTAGTCCCGCATCCCAGACCACAGGGAGGACAGCGTTGGATTTGTTTTTGGTTCAACTGTCATTGGATGATCTCTGCTTTTTCTCTCCGCTCGGAGGCTCGACCGACAGATGCTGTGAGAGACTGAGCTCTGGGTGATATGAGTAACATTAGCCACTGGTTGTGGTAAAACAAGAGATGAACTATAGCTATATAATTAACTACATTGGGACCAGTCCCGATTAATTGAGGAGGACTGTGTTTTTATCCGTTTCAGATGAGGGACTTTATCTACCGTGTTTGAATGGGACAGACTGTTGTTGCACTCGCATGCTTCTCATCAGTCGCGATCTGGATTTAGGGTTGTGAGTACCAGGTCCTTACTAATTAAGTGTACATAGATGTGATTGAAATTATGTTGATAATTGTTGGTTTATAATCTGATTCAAGCTTGAGTTTTGGATTGAAACGGAATTGATACGTCTTGACTTTAATAATAATGAACATCTTGTTTGTTGTGATCATTCTTTATCATAGTTCAAGGGGATATCTATTTGTGCCTATGTTCACTGCAAATACATATCTTTAGGGGTACATTACTTATTAGGTGGAGGCACTGCACTACCTTATTTATGGTTATGCCCATACATGTTTACACACAATAACCTTCACATGCTGACTACTTACAGACCACATACTGCAACACCTAGATACTAGGTTAAAACTGATTGGAACTCAGAAGAGAGGGTTACAAATTAATTTGTAAAAATAAATATATATATACAGTATATCTTTGTTCAATACCATAACATAATGCTATGTATGAGCTGCACTAGTGAATGGTTACACTATATGTGGGTTTCATACTAGGATTGGTGGCTACTCACCTCCGGCCTGTGTGAGTGTTGGGTCAGCCTGCACCGACACTGCTGTGGATGCCCCATCACTGACTGTGGCAGCAGGGAAATAGGCAAAACGCGTCTCCCCTCCCACCGTCTCCCCCGCTGGACTACCCCCATTACTGAAGGGGTTCTGAATGACAGCCGAGAGAGTGAGAGGCAAATTAGACAGCAATACTTCCCTAAGATGATAGGGTATGCCATGTGTAATAGCATGCCCACTAATGCACACACAAACAAACTCATACATACACACACCTGTGCCACTGCTTGCTGTGCTCCAGTAAATGCAGCAGTGGAGACCACACTGACTGCCCCAGTCCCGTCGCCTGCTGCCTCTAGCTGGTCATCTGTCACTTGGACCACACGATAGGTCACCTGGAGTGAAGAACGTCAAGGGGAGAGGTCAGGACAGGAGTATGCCAAACATTTCAGATAGAATCAGAATGACCTTTATTCGCCAAGTACATTTACCAGGAATTTGACCTGGAGAAATGGTGTTGACAACAATAAAACAGAATATACAGTATACATATTATAGACAAAATAATTTACACATAATCTACAGATTCTTCTTGTTATTTTGTTCATCCAGACAAGGGGGATTTTGTGGTACTGTGGTAGTAAGAACTGTGTGTGTTCAAAATTGCCTGGGTCATTGATTGAGCTCACCTGTCCTCCACTGTTCTCTGTGCGGAACTGGTATTGAACATTATGATCCGCAAAAGCTGCGGCCTGCTGTACACTCTCTATGGTAACTGCAGTCTGCTCCTCCGTCCCCACACCCTCTGAGAAAAACACACCAGCATGTTAGAACCCACACTTACGCTCTCTCTCATACACACACACTTGTAAATTCCATAATTACCTGTTTGAACAGAGGAAATTTAACACACCCCGATACCTACCTTCCAGTTGGAGAACCTCCTCTGTTTCCTGTTTCTCGTGACTGATGGAGAGAGAAGGGAGTTTTCTGTTATAACACTCATATTCAATTGAACAGCTATGTGCTATAGGCTAATTAATAATAATAGTCCAGCAATAAGAACCAAATATACCAAGATCGTTCCACTTTATGACACAAGTATCAAACTTGGTACACTAATACTAAATACCTTAAGGAACATTTTAAAGATTGGAGGCAGTCTGGGAAGCATGTCAGTCAACCAAGGCGGCCATTTTAATAAAATGGCTGCCAATCGGATTTCCTGTTAAAAGAAAATAGGGTAAAATCATTCCAAACAATGTTGTCAATATGACCCCCACTAAATCAACCCAACAGATAATATAGACAACAATTCTGATCATAAAATAATTGTAAGACCTTCATGGGGGTCATATTGAGGTCATTTTGACCATAGTCCAGTGGCTATGGGAAAACATTGTGGACTTTGTGATCCAGCCACCAAATTTCACACACAGCTAGGGCATGTCTAAAGAAGTATTTTTGGCTAGAGCATCACAGATTTTGTCCATTACCCCCCTGGCGGGCGATGGCCACCAACCACCTGGACATAATACATTCCTATGGGATTTTACATAAAAAGTGACGTGTACAGGGCAGGTTTGCTGTCATTTTTCTTAACATTTACACAAAACAGAATATCATATTACAGTGCCTTCAGAAAGTATTCATACCCCTTGACTTATTACACATTTTGTTGTGTTACAGCCTGAATTCAAAATGGATTAAATATAATTTTTTTCTCTCACCCATCTACGCACAATACCTCATAATGAGAAATGTTTGCAAATGTATTAATAATGAAATACAGCAATATCTCATTTACATAATTATTCACACCCCTGAGTCAATACTTTATAAAAGCTGGGAGTCTTTCTGGGTGAGTCTCTAAGAGCTTTCCGTACCTGGATTGTGCAACATTCGCCCATTATTCTTTTCAAAATTCTTTAAGATGTGTCAAATTGGTTATTTATCATTGCTAGACAACCATTTTCAGGTCTTGCCATAGATTTTCAAGTATATTTAAGTCAAAACTGTAACTCGGCCACTCAGGAACATTCACTGTCTCCTTGGTAAGCAACTCCAGTGTAAATATGGTCTTGTGTTTTAGGTTATTGTCCTGCTGAAAGATGAATTAATTTCCCAGTGTCTGGTGGAAAGCAGACACCCAGGTTTTCCTCTAGGATTTTGCCTGTGCTTAGCTCCATTCTGTTTCTTTTTTTATCCTGAAAAACTCCCCAGTCCTTAACGATTCCAAGCATACCCACAACATGATGCCGCCACCATTATGCTTGAAAGTATTGAGTGGTACTCAGTAATGTGTTGGATTGGATTTGACACAAACATAACAGGACAGAATGTGAATTGCTTTGCCACAGTTTTTGCAGTATTACTTTAGTGCCTTGTTGCAAACATGATGTATGTTTTGGAATATTTATTTTATTCTGTACAGGCTTCCTTATTTTCACTGTCAATTAGGTTAGTATTGTGGAGTAACTACAATGTTACTGATCCATCCTCAGTTTTCTCCTATCACAACCATTCAACTTTGTAACTGTTTTAAAGTCGCCATTGGCCTCATGGTGAAATCCCTGAGTGATTTCCTTCCTCTCCAGCAACTGAGTTAGGAAGGACTCCTGTATCTTTGTTGTGACTGGGTGTATTGATACACCATCCAAAGTTTAATTAATAACTTCACCATGCACAAAAGGTATATTCAATATCTGCTTAATAGGTGACCTTCTTTGCGAGACATTGGAAACCTCCCTGGTCTTTGTGGTTGAATCTGTGTTTGAAATTCACTGCTTGACTGAGGGACCTTACAGATAATTGTATGTGTGGGGTACAGCGATGAGGTAGCCAACTACAAGAAACGTCTGACCTCTGTGATTGCCAACAAGGGTTTTGCCACCAAGTACTAAGTCATTGTCACACCCTGGCTCTGGGACTCATTATGTTGAGCCAGGGTGTGTTCATTTCTATGTGTGTATTTCTATGTTGGTGTTCATTCTAGTTTGTTGTATTCTATGTTTGCCTGAGTGACTCCCAATCAGAGGCAACGAGTGTCAGCTGTTGGCTGGTTTTCTCTGATTGGGAGCCTTATTTAAACTCTATGTTTTCCCTTTGTGGTTGTGGGTTTTTGTTCCGTGTTCGGTCATTGATACCGTGGACGTCACGAGTCGTTTCTTGTTTTGTTTCGTGCTTTAACTAATTAAAGTAATGTTTGTTCATCACGCTGCGCCTTGGTCTACTCCTTACCCTGACGATCGTGACAGAAAAACCCACCATGCAACGACCAAGCAGCGTGTCCAGGGGCAGCCCTTGGGGTGGACATGGGAGGAAGCGCCGGGAAAGGCCCTGGCGAAAGAGGAGCAGCGTGTCCAGGAGCAGGCAGCCTGGACATGGGAGGAGATATTGGACGGTAAAGGGTCCTGGACTTGGGGGGAAATCCTGGCCGGGATGGATCGCCGGCCATGGAGTGAGACAGTGGAGAGGCGACGGAGAGAGGAGCAACGGCGTGATCAGGGTCGTCGTCGGACGGTCGTGAGGCAACCCCAGAAAATTTTTAGGGGGGGGCACACGGCATGGACGACGGGGCTGACGGAGGAGAAAAGGGGGCGGATCCAGAAGGCCACCAGGCCAGGGGTTCACCGCCCTGTACGTCCTGTGCGGATGCCTCACACAGAGTGTGTGAGGGTAGGCATTCAGCCAGGACGGGTGGTGGCCGCTCTTCACTCCAGGCCTCCTATCCGTCTCCACAGCCCGGTTCGGCCTGTCCCTGCTCCACGCACCAAGCCTACGGTGTGCGTCGCCAGCCCAGCCCGGCCTGTCTCTGCTCCACGCACCAAGCCTACGGTGTGCGTCGACAGCCCAGCCCGGCCTGTCCCTGCTCCACGCACCAAGCCTACGGTGTGCGTCGACAGCCCAGCCCGGCCTGTCCCTGCTCCACGCACCAAGCCTACGGTGTGCGTCGACAGCCCAACCCGGCCTGTCCCTGCTCCACGCACCAAGCCTACGGTGTGCGTCGACAGCCCAGCCCGGCCTGTCCCTGCTCCACGCACCAAGCCTACGGTGTGCGTCGACAGCCCAGCCCGGCCTGTCCCTGCTCCACGCACTAAACCTACGGTGCGCGTCGCCAGCCCGGTCCGGCCTGTTCCTGCCACTCGCACTAAGCCAGGGGTGCGAGAAGTCAGCCTGGTAAGGCCCGTCCCTCTTCCACGCACCAAGCCAGGGGTGCGAGTAGTCAGCCTGGTAAGGCCCGTTCCTTCTCCACGCACCAAGCCAGGGGTGCGAGTCGTCAGCCTGGTAAGGCCCGTTCCTCCTCCACGCATCAAGCCAGGGGTGCGCGTCGTCAGCCTGGTAAGGCCCGTTCCTCCTCCACGCACCAAGCCAGGGGTGCGAGTCGACAGCCTGGTAAGGATCGCTCCTGTTAAGTCCAGTCCTGCTCCAGCCGGCGGGGCCAGACTGGACCAGGGGTACTATGGGGGGTGTATTGGAGGGTGGTGGTCAAGGCCGGAGCCAGAACCGCCGCCGAGGAGGTATGCCCGCCCAGCCCTCCCTTGGTTTGTTTAGTTGAGGCGCGGTCGCAGTCCGCGCCTTTAGGGGGGGGTACTGTCACACCCTGGCTCTGGGACTCATTATGTTGAGCCAGGGTGTGTTCATTTCTATGTGTGTATTTCTATGTTGGTGTTCATTCTAGTTTGTTGTATTCTATGTTTGCCTGAGTGACTCCCAATCAGAGGCAACGAGTGTCAGCTGTTGGCTGGTTGTCTCTGATTGGGAGCCATATTTAAACTGTATGTTTTCCCTTTGTGGTTGTGGGTTTTTGTTCCGTGTTCGGTCATTGATACCGTGGACGTCACGAGTCGTTTCTTGTTTTGTTTCGTGCTTTAACTAATTAAAGTCATGTTTGTTCATCACGCTGCGCCTTGGTCTACTCCTTACCCTGACGATCGTGACAGTCATGTTTTGCAGAGGGGTCAAATACTTATTTCCCTCATTAAAATGCAATCAATTCATAACATCTTTGACATGCGTTTTTCTGAATTTTTTTGTTGTTATTCTGTCTCTCACTGTTCAAATAAACCTACCATTAAAATGATAGACTGATCATGTCTTTGTCAGTGGGCAAACGTACAAAATCAGCAGGGGATCAAATACTTTTTCCCCCTCACTGTATATATATATATATCATTGCGATCAATAGACTTCAACGAACACCCATATGACTTTTAAAGTGTTTACATGTAAACTATTGGAACTAGCCATGAAAACACTGACAAAAAACTAAGTTGGCATACATTTTCACCACTTTTCTACAAAAACATTTAAGGATACATATATGGCATCTTTGGGCTATTTTATTGTGTTTTCAGACCCTCCTCAAACATATTAAGCCATCATTGGGCTGTATGTACCAATTATTTATAGAGATATGGCCATGTGAATCGTGTCCAATACGGCCCCACACAGCTGGTTGGCGCCTGTACAAAAGCCCTCAGAGTGGAGCAGCATACTACTGAGATGAACTTGATCAACCAAGTTGATTTCACCTGTTGACTCTCTCTCAATGCCACACACTTGTCATCATTATAAGGACTGCCCTGATAACCCCCACAAAAAACATTAAGATGTCATGTAATTTCCTTAATTTTCTTATTTGAGATACAGTGCATTTGGAAAGTATTCAGAACCCTTGACTTTGTCAGGTTGGATGGGGAGCGTCGCTGCACAGCTATTTTCAGGTCTCTCGAGAGATGTTTGATCGGGTTGAAGTCTGGGCTCTGGCTGGGCCACTCAAGGACATTCAGAGACTTGTCCTGAAGCCACTCCTACGTTGTCTTGGCTGTGTGCTTAGGGTCGTTGTCCTGTTGGAAGGTGAACCTTCGCCCCAGTCTGAGGTCCTGAGCATTCTGGAGCAGGTTTTCATCAAGGATCTCTCTGTGTGCCTTTCCAAATCATGTCCAATCAATTTAATTTACCACAGGTGGTCTCCAATCAAGTTGTAGAAACATCTCAAGGATGATCAATGGAAACAGGATGCACCCGAGCTCAATTTCGATTATCATAGCAAAGGGTCTGAATACTTATGTAAATAAGGTATTTCAGTTTTTTATTTTTAATAAATGTGCAAACATTTCTAAAAACCTGTTTTCTCTTTGTCATTATGGGGTCTTGTGTGTAAATTGATGAGGGGAAAAAACAATTTCATAAACTTTAGTATAAGGCTGTAACGTAACAGAATGTGGAAAAAGTCAAGGCATGTTGCCCTTGGTTTAATAGATTCATCCTTATCACCTTTACCTTATGTTATGCAACCTGCTTATCATGTCTCTCCTTTGTTGTAGAACAACATACAAATCCAACTTTACCATGTCCAACCTCAAGTCCTTAATTCATATGTGAACCTTGGCACTGTCTCTGCCATCTGCTTGCTCTCTGACCGGAGCAGAGTATTCCTGGTGAAATCTATCCAACCAGTTACCTATCTTGGGTTTCTTAGCCTACTTTTCCGTGGCCATATTGGAAATGACCACCAGGGGGGGGGTAATGAACAAAATCTGTGATGGCACTATAGCCCAAAATACTTATTTAGACATGCCCTAGCTGTGTGTGAAATTTGGTGGCTCTATCAAAGTCCAAAATGTTTTCCTATAGCTGCTGGACTATGGTCAAAATGACCTTGATGTGACCCCCATGAAGGTCTTAAGAGTACTTTATGATGAGAAATATTGTCTATATTATCTGTGGGGTTTATTTAGTGGGTAGATAACATTACAAATACATTTTTATATTGTTTGGAATTACTTTACCCTATTTTTCTTCTAACAGGACATCTGGATTGACTGACAGGCTTCCCATACCGCTTCCAATCTTTAAAATGTTCCTTAAATGTATCTAGTATTAGTGTATCAAGTCTGATACTTTTATCATAAAATGGAACAATTATTTCACCTATCCGCTGGACTATAAGTGACTGTGTACTAGTGGTGCACGGGTCAGTCATTTGTTCACCCACCCGCAATTGCTAATAACCCATCCGCAACCACCAGACTATATGTGAAAAAGTGAAAATTTGAGGCCCGCGCCCGACCCTAACCCGTTAATATAGATAAACGCTGTAGGCTACAGTCAGAGACGGCAGAACGATTTTTTGACAGGGGGTGCATGATTTTGTTTTGACTGATTTAGATATGTTCCTAAATATAATTTCAACCATTTTATTAGGCTATTTGTTTAGTCAACTTGTCTATAATTAGATACATACAGCTTCTCTTCTGTCCTTATACAGTACCAGTCAAAAGTTTGGACACACCTACTCATTCAATGGTTTTTCATTTTGGTTACTATTTTTTACATTGTAGAATAATAGTGAAGACATCAAAACTATGAAATAACACATATTCGATCATGTAATAACCAAAAAAGTGTTAAACAAATCAAAATAGATTTTATATTTCAGATTCTTCAAATAGCCACCCTTTGCCTTGATGACAGCATTGCACACTCTTGGCATTCTCTCAACCAGCTTCACCTGGAATGCTTTCCAACAGTCTTGAAGGAGTTCCCACATATGCTGAGCACTTGTTGGCTGCTTTTCCTTCACTCTGCCGTCCGACTCATCCCAAATCATCTCAATTGGGTAGAGGTCGGGGGATTGTGGAGGCCAGGTCATCTGATGCAACACTTCATCACTCTCCTTCTTGGTAAAATAGCCCTTACACAGCCTGGAGGTGTGTTGGGTCATTGTCCTGTATCGCTGCAGAATGCTGTGGTAGCCATGCTGGTTAAGTGTGCCTTGAATTCTAAATAAATCACAGACAGTGTCACCACTAAGGCACCCCTAAAGCACCCCCGCACCATAACACCTCCTCCTCCATGCTTTACGGTGGGAACTACACATGCAGAGATCATCTGTTCACCCACACCGCGTCTCACAAAGACACGGCGGTTTGAACCATAAATCTCCAATTTGGACTCCAAAACCAAAGGACAAATTTCCACCGGTCTAATGTCCATTGCACGTGTTTCTTGGCCCAAGCAGGTCTCTTCTTCTTATTGGTGTCCTTTAGTAGTGGTTTCTTTGCAGCAATTTGACCATGAAGGCCTGATTCACCCTGTCCCCTCTGAACAGTTGATGTTGAGATGTGTCTGTGACTTGAACTCAGTGAAGCCGTAATGAGAGAAATAATGTAGCCTAAGCTACTGAAAACAGGAGCGTTAGATTTTTATTAAAGAGATGGTGTCCAGACAGGATACTTTAGGAAACTTTCTGAATGGACATATAGGCCTATAGAGAATCAGCAAACTCACACACCCCAGTAAAAGCACCCGTCAATCAAAGACACCAGCGTATGTCAGACACAAGAGCAAATATTTGTCCTTTCCTTAAAACTTTTAAAAAACCTAGGCATTCCTTAGGCTTTCCAAAAGTAGGCCAGAAGAGAATGAATTGAAAAGGAAAGTATGAAGGGGACAGCTATGCTATAGTATGAAGATGAAATTGACAATCATTAAAATAAACAAATACACGCAACAGCCTATTTATCAAGGGGGAGAGTGTTGGAAATCATTTTGAAATACTGCAAGGAACTATTCTAATTTGAATGGATATATATATATATATTCTACGGACTTCGTTGACTTACTGTGTGAGGTAAAAAAAATAAAAAATGACTGAGAAGCCCAACTGGGCACTTTCCTACATTTTACATTTACGAGAAGCAGGCCAGATACTTATATACGTGCTCAGGCGCTTGTGCGCCGTCAACACCAACAGGATAGAGAAACCAAACACATGCTCATTGCTCACATGGAGCGTGTAAATGATGGTATGAAATAAACCAAAACTTGTTTCTCACAAGAGTAGCAGGTTGTGAACTCTTGTAATTACTGTAATTAATACATGCATTAACAGAAATGTATGTAACCAAATGACAGGGATTAACGGTAAATTGCCTGTTTTACAAACGGTAGGCTACCACATGGGCATTCATAAAAGTGCGACACTTTATAGCCTAGGCTACTATTTTTTTAGTCTCACCTAGGGTGGTATATCGGCCAGTCTATCAATTAAGAAAATATTCCGTATCAAATCATACCATGCCAGGTTGGAGAAGATTGGCGCATTTGACACATTAGTGCATTATAGGCCTCTGAGCCAGAACAACCTTGTTGTAATAATTAATAAATAGTCAGACACATCCAACATTTTTTTTTAAGGCAGATTTATTTACTAGCAAGCAATGAAAACGTGCATTGAATAAAATAAAGTCCACACGTTAATTATTTTTAGCCTATAGTGCTCTACACCCTGCGCATCTAGGGATGAGCTGCTCAAGCATCAAAGGAAAGTTGGAAAGAGGAGACGTAGAACGTTTAATAGACAGACTAAGTTAGCAAAACAATTGCTTATTGTCATTAGTAAACACTCCCGCTATTAGGTCATGTTTATCTACATTAAAATAAAGTTAATTTAAAAAATCCTCAAATGCATGTAGGCCTATTTAAACTGTTTTTATGGTTATTTTATTTTCATGACGGTCTTCATCCATAACCGTCAGTTACACGGTTATTCAATTACCGCCACAGCCCTAATGAAAATGCAATAACTCCCCCCCCCCCCCCCCCCCAAAAAAAAAAAAAACGGGAAAGATTTTCTGTGAAAATGTTTTGTCCACTCCTGTTCCAGAGTCAAAATGTAGCCTACATTTTGTGTATAATTTTACTGCAAGAAATGCTTAATTCTGCAGGAGTTAATAGTATGGCTATGTGAGAGGTTATAGACCTACAGTCAGTATCCAGATTTCAGTTACCATTTAACCCATCTGAACAGAAGGCTACAGTTCCCTTGACGTGCCATAGGCCTGTTTGAAATCCCGTCTTGTGACTGTCGAATTTGTATAGCACCTCACAATCATCACACATAACATTGCCAGCAATGCTATCATCCTCTTTTACCACTTCACAAAATATTTCACAAACATTACTTTTCTGGCCCTCCCTTCTCTTTATGTTCAACTCTCCATTTCGCAGCTTTTCTAATATTTAATTCAACTCCGACATTGTGCTTTTTGCCTCCATAAAATCAGCATTCACTTTTTCTGCCCGTTCCCAATTGGCGTGCGTACAGTTAGGCCCTAAAGTTTAGGCTTACGCACCAATGCCAGATAGCCTTACATAATTAAAGAAAAACCTCAATGATATAGATATAAATTGCATAATAATTATACGTTTATGGATTTTTTGTATGTATTGTTTTCTCTTTATTCAACCCGCCTGCCCTTCATCCACACATTATTTAGCCTAATGACCCTAAAACCGCCTGCCCCGCGGATATAAACACGGGACTGCAGGTTAGGAGTCAACCCGCGCATCACTGCTGTGTACTTCTTACTGTACACTGATATCAGTAGCAAGAGTGCCCCCTGTCGTTGTGTTAGCGGAAGAAAATGTGACATTCGAAAAGTGGACTAGTCACCATACTAGACTGCTAAAGCTGAATTAGTCAAATTGATGCATATTGGCTGATGTTAGCCATCAAAACGAAAATACGTTGTTTTTTTTGTAATCAGAATACAACTTGCATGCATCAGCAGGTCAACACTATACTTTCAACTTTCCCTCCACTTCGAAAACGTTGACAAATTGGTAACGCCCCCTTAATCCTAACAGAGGCTAAAACATTATTATGGCTGCGATCTCTGTCTAAGGCACAACTCAATACCGTGATGTTCATTAAAGCCTTCAAGGATTGTTTTTATTATTTTTATTATTATGCGCCTTGGGTGTGAGAAAAAGCGCTTTACAAATTATGTAAATTATTATTATTAAACCCATAGTGGGATACTGCAAAACTATATAATGGTATCATTGAACCAAATGCATTATTCAAGCGCGCGCAAAATGTAGCCAGTTTCATGTCACGTTAACCAATTATATTATCATTGCTGCTCATCATTATGGGTTGCAAACAAACAAATCACAGGAGTGTAATTTATTGTGTACAATGTTTTACTAACGTAACACTGAGAAGTATAGAAGTTGTGTATATAAGTCGTGCATTATTATGAATCTTATTTTGATGCATTTCTCAACAACAAAAAAGCGACATCATACACTTTCTAATCACATCACTGACATTAAAACGGTTGTAATAATTTGACAGTTACAGCTACATAGTTGACCTACAAGACTGTCTGTCGCTGGTCTCGCTTGACTGAGTCGAGTTAATAAACAATAGCAATAATAACTGGATGCAAAGCACGACATATTAGACAAACACTTGAAAATATATTGGTCTTATACATTGGATTTACAAAACAAAATA